TAATCTATATTATATGAATACTATATCATATATATATATATATATGATCCAAAAATATAAAGGTTGTTCTGTTAGATAATCACCCAAAGTTTTGTTTAAAGACTTTGGATCAATCAGAACAAATGTTAAGGCATTCTTCCTTCTCATACTAAATGTAGTCTTTGGGTGCAAATGGGTTAAAAAGAAAGTTTAAGAAGCAATTTGAGGAATATTTTCACGTTACAGAAGGTACAAAATAACTGCTGCTTTAAATATCACCCTGCATACTTGAAGTGAAATAATAATATCAAATCTTTCCGATCGGTTTCGTTTTACCTGCCAGGCGTAGTCGGCTCTGTTCATTAACGCCATAACTGACAACAATAGAATCCATTTCCATCCCTTTTTCTTCCTCCACCCTAATTCAGACTGACAGACGCAGATATTATGCATGAGCAATCCAGCGTGAATTCCTCATTGTTTTTCACACCAAATGAGGTTTTTCTGATGTTTGTCAGAGCTAATGAATTGTCGAAAAGGAGAGCGTTGGGATCCCACGAGGAAAATAGACTGCGAGGAGAGAAAAATTAAGTAAATTGCAAACGAAGGCAGAGCAAAGAGTGACTCAGTTACAGAAGGTGTGACTACAATTTATAAGAAGAATTTAATTAATGAATTCAGAATTAATAGCCACAAAAAAAAAACAATGTGCGTCTTTAAGGAGTATAAAGTGGATTTCTTCTATTTAGACTTGCTTAGAAAGCTACGGTCTAATATCTGCCTAGCAACTGCTTACAGGCTTTGATATGATTCATATTTTGTGATATTTTGATCACTCAATATTTGAAAATACTGATTATTACTAATATACAGCACTTACAGAAGACCTGTTCCATGTGCATACATTTCTTCTGTAGGTTCAGGAACGACTGCACTAATCCCAAATCAGTTTTGGGACCCTCAGTAATCGTGGGCACCCTAGAGGTAAGAACCAGCCATCCACCAGCTGGAAAACATGTTTAACAATCAGAGGAGAGGGTTCCTGCGTGCGTGTTAGAAAGTATCTCTGCTGCCGAACTGCAGAAGAGTCTAAATCAGAGCGCTGCAGCTCCAGATGTAATCAGAGCGCCCTGTTTTTTTAAAGGATGACATTACTCAACCTACCAGTGAAAGATGCATCCAGCAGCCTTTTGTCCTCTGAAACCGAGGAGAGGAGAAGGAAACTGTCCAATCATCTAGTTTAATTTAATTGAAAAGGGTCCTTCTGTCCTAAAATGAGATATTTGAGAGTGGCAGCTACTCTCAGGAAATGACTGCGACTGTAGGTCACATGCTGAGCTTTTGTTTGATGAAAGGAACAATATTCATCCTGAGTGACGAGTTTCAATTGATGTTTTTTTTTTCTTTCCAGATGAATATCCATCATTTTTTACATGTTTTAACCTTTTTTGTGGGATGTGATTGCAACTTCACACTGTAAAAACTGACATCACATCTTCAAAGGCCATTTGACAATATGTCTCAGGTAAAGTTATGGTTTTATGTGTAACTTGCAGCCTAAAATTAATATTTATATAAGCGTTCAATAAGTTGTATACCACAATATGGTTCATCAAATCGCTCCGAAAGTGATATCGATATCGTTTACCACTGTTATGAAAGTGGTAGTGGTAGAGTCCGCCATGCACTTGAGTTAGAACAAGTCTTAAAGCAATATATTTATAGTTATTGTTAT